AATCTTCAGGTAATGAACGAAGAAGTAATTGGAGTGCTTCAGATGCCTTCTTAATAGGCCCACCTTCCATTGAACCAGATCTATTATCATTGGATTTATTAATATTCTAGTAAAATAATGCTTATCATTTCTATTATCTTTTTGAATATTACCTATCGATCACAAAAATTAATTCTGACATTATTGTATTAAGAGCGAACTTTGGTACTAAAGTTAGCATAACACAATTGGTTTGTTTCTTAGCGTCATATTCAATGAAGGCTCTAGAGTAAGAAAAAAAAACATTTAATTGAGAAATAAAGAATACTGTAATATGAATTAAGAGTATTAATATTAATATTACCTTGGTTTATCGAGATCAAGACTTTTAATAACAAGTATAAAATCTTTTTCTAAATAAGTAATTTGTTCAGCTAGAGTAATTTTTGAAACATTTGGATTACCATCAATATTTAATTCTGTTGAAATATGATGAGATGGTGATTCGACGCTTTGAATAACAGAAGTCATTCTACATGTAATAATAAGATCTAAATGATAGTCAGTCTTTTCTGAATAAGATACTTTATCAGGAACAAGTTTTTTTCCATCATTTGCAATTGTATAATCAGATGAACCATATCTTGGAGCGATGGCAGTAGGGAAAACAAATCGAACTTTTTCAGATTCAGCATCATGTTTTAGTTCGGCTACATATGTGATTTTAATTACAATCGTTTGACCAGCTGTAATATTACCAACTGAGCATTGGAAAATATCAGGAAGTTGTTGTTCAACGAGATAAGCTCCATGACCTTGCTGCATAAACAAATTTTATGTAAATATGATATGTAAGCAACTATATATGTATACGTACGTACAATAAGTTAAATATGGTTATTTTATACTATATACCTCAATAGCCTCACTATATTCTTTTGCGGCCTGTTTTGCTTCTTTAACTATTCCTTTAACTTTTTTCTTTCCATCAATTTCAGCTTCAAATCCACATACTGCTGCTGCTTCATGAAGTGGAAATTTGTAAATGGCTTCAATAGAATCTTTTTCAACATTTTTATATGTCTGGCAAACCGTTGCTAGATTCGACGAGTAAAGGTATTAGTTACATTAAATATACTGAAATTAACATTATAATAATATTTAGATATGTAAATTAATTTACTTTCTGCTATCATATCAACAACTAATTAAATTTAGAGAACATTAGCAACATGAAAAGAACAATATACTGTATGAAACAAATTGTATATGTGTAAAAGGAAACTTTACTGTTCGACTCAACAGAAACATTTTGCAAGGGAACAGGGTTTTGTTGACCCTCTATAATGAAAACAAGTCCGTATAATTGCATCTTTTAATATACAATAAGCAAGATTATTTTTTAAAGGTAATAATAATTGCAAAGTCTATACTCACGCCACTTTATAGCAAATTTAATCCTACTGCATATAAAAATTACGTACGTATGCACACACGTACTAGGGTATACAATAATGATATCATTTTTTAATAATATTGCTTCCTAGACATTTTTATGGGCATTTTTAATCATAATGTGTAACTGCTACTGATCAGTCGCAAGAGCCACCGGTCGTCAATTGTAAAGTGGTTAGCTAAAATCGAAATGGCTAATAGTAATGAATTTAGTAGCAGGTACTGTATAACTTGTCTATCGTTTTTCTAACAGTATGTCACGTGTCCGCACAGAGAAACAGCCATACGACCTGTAACGCAAATTTTCACATGCCATAACTGGGCATGTGATGCAGCAGACAATGGCGTGGGAAGGTCGGACAACATTGACGACATATGTCAAGATACGCCTAGCGTAAGAAATCAAGTAATTAAGCAATGGTGTTTGTTCACTCATAGTTAGATGCATATTAACGCAATAAGGTTGTAACTTAATAACCTCAATATAAAAAAGTTGTCAAACCGGTTTTTAAAATAGGTCATAACTAATGCGACAATATGTTTGCATCTAGCAATGGGAATTATTAATTATGAATTGTTAATGATTAAAAATTAATAAGTTAACGTTAACAATAAACGATAATTTTTATGCAATTAATAAATGAGTTATCCAATATTCGTGAACATCTTTGTAGAAAATGATCTAATCGATGGTTTTTTATAAAATCATTAATCACATCAATTAGAAGCTGTAGTGGAAGGTTCTATTTTTACAGAAATTATTATTAATTAATTTTTTATTGCTACAAATTCATTTTTGTATTAGAATGGTTTAATTCGCTGATCACACATTCTATCGATATTTTCTTAATTGTTAAAAGTGATTTATTAATAATTTCATGTTAACAATTAATAATTAGAAATTCTCATCGTTATCTGCATCTATACTCATTGTCGGCTTCGACAGGTGGCTATTCCCACGGCGACTCTCAGCGAATTTCGATTACGACTTTCATTTCCGTTCGGCTAGCTCAGTAAATTACATGCTTCTCTATAATGTTATTAGCCAAATTGGTTTGAGTTTGTAGAAATATTTCGATACTTGATATTAAGTCTGGCGAAATTCTAAATAATGTCGAAATTTCTAAATTAAAAAAAATATATATACCTATCATTAGCAAGTATCCGAACTGGTTTTTTTTTGTGGATTGCACGTATATACAAAATAGATTTGATCAAACACGGTTGCTGGTCCTATCAAGCAGATTTTATTATATATACTTTCTAAAAGACACCTGCTTTAAAATTTTCTACATTTTTATGAATGCTACTATGCTAAATGTTTTTAACTTGGATCTGGATTACTATCAATCAAAAAACTAGTTACTTTTGGGTCCGTATTATTTCACCGACATCACATCAGGCGACAATTTACTAATAATGTATACCATAACCCTATGTGATGTCGGTCAAATGAGCTGTCGATGAAATGATTATCGGCGAAGTAAACGACACCGGTTACTTTTAATATACATACATACTCTCTTTACCACTAATTTAGAAATTTCGTCATATAATATTTATTTAGTCAATTAGTCAAATTTAGGATTTTGACATTTCGAAATATATTTTGACACAAAATTATCTAAATGTTTGACTAAATAGGGTAATTTTATGTTTTTTTTGTAAGCTTCCGGTAAGATGGTTTTCATGTAATTTGTGATTATGATTCCATGTGATTGGTTGGATCATGTTTGATTAGTAAACTTTATGCAGAATCTCAATAATGCTAGCTGAGTTTTCATAATTCTGGCAATTTATATCATGTATGAAAAATTATAAAATGTAATTATCAACTCTACTAACAACAATATTTCTCGATCATGTATTTTTATTAGATTTTTACAGCTACTTTCATAAATTCTGGGGCATCTAAAAATTGCAAATGAATGAATCGATAAGTTTTTGATCAGCTTATTAGTTACGCACCGGAATTTAAAATTAAGCGTCGGTACTTAATAACTCAAATAGTGATACTAATGACTTATCGATAAATATACATCTTGTATCATTTATTGCTGTTACATGACATGTGCCATGTTCGAATTGTGTAGTTCACCATTTCATCTGAGCTTTTAGGCATTATTCTAGCTGATTTTAGTAAATATTTATATATATTGCAATCAGCTACACAATATAATTCGTCCCAGAATGAAGGCAGTTCTATGCAACAAGTGTTTCCAATCTTTATTTCTAATTACTTACTAGGATAATGGAAACCATTTGAAGTTCAAGGGACTACTATATCGATAATAATAAAATTAATTATACTATATGAGCGCTGTCAAAAGAAAACCTGTCATCGGATTTTCAATAATATTTTATGTACAGTTAACCGTCTACAGAAAGACTATCATCATGATAGATTTTGCTAAAGTCCGATGACAGGTTTTCTTTTGACAGCACTTATATCATCAATATATTAAAAAAATCTGCGAAAATGATCAATATTGATCAGCCAATCAAATTTAACAATTCCTTCCA